ATTGCCAATTCATTGAGGAAAATAAATTTTTCAAGGATGAGTTTGATATACATAGGATCACTGCTTTTCATAGGGACTTGATCAAAGAAAAATCCTTAGTCTAGTTGAGGTTGTCTGTCCTTATGAAGGAATTTTTATGCCAATTTACAAATTTTTTTTTAAAGAAAAATTCTCCAAACTTTGGAAAAGTTTTTGTTGTGCGAATCAATTTTCTCTCTTTCTCCCAAAATTATCAACTCTCATTTACAAACTCCTACTGTGATTGATGAGGATAATTATGGTGTTTTTACTGAAGTTTGTAAAACTCTTTTTGGCAATCGTTTTAAATCCCTCTCTCATCTACTCCATTCTGCTTTCTCAAAATTTTAAGATCTTCCCTGGAATGGAGATAATTTCCTCTCAACTGAATCAGGTCAAAATAATCTTGGTACTGAAGGTGTTGCTCCTCATGTTGACAACACTCCTGATATCCTTCTTTCTGTTTCTCGAGATTTTTTGTCAAAACAGCTTACTCACTTCCTAGTTCAGATCACCTATCATCAGTGCATGGTGGAAATGCTTCAGAGAACTCTTTCTGATCAAAAAGGGGGAGAACAAGCTGGTCATGAAGTTGAAGCATGGTGAAGCTGAAGGAGCAGAGGAAAGTAGTGGATCCAGTACTAGTGATGGAGGAACAACAGCTGATACTGAGGAGACTTTGGATTGCACTATATTGGTTATTTGTTATATTGGTTATCATATTCAGGGGGAGTTCAAGCAATGACTCAGGGGGAGTTAAGCTAAAATTTAGTTTTGATCAGAAAGTTAAAAAGGGGGAGTTTGAAACACGTGGATTATTTCCACATATTGTTTTTAACTTTCCTATTTTCTAACTAAATTTTAATTATTAAATAAGTAGTGCTTAGTGGGTTAAGTATTGTAGTTAGTGGGTTAAGTAGTGCTTAGTGGATTAAATTGTGGATTTTATCTTAACTTCTAAACTAACCCACTAACCCATGTTCTCGAGTGCTCTTGTGGTTGGTTTTCTTGCAGATCATGGGCTGAGGAGTGGAAGCTTGAAATGTCTATAAATACCGATTTCAATACTCATGGAAATTGATCGATTCTACGAAATAAAAACCGAGGGCTGAAGAGAATACACGAGTGTTTTAGTTAGGTTTTAGAATCGGTTGTTTGTACTCTTCGTGAGTACATTCTTTACGTACTCTTCATGAGTACAATCTTTACGTACTCCTTATGAGTGCATTCTTTACGTACTTCTCATAAGTACATTCTTTGTAGTCTAGATTGTTTAGTAGACTTGGTTGTAAGAATGATCAAGATAGTGATTCATTCATAAGTTCTTTACGTACTCCTCACGAGTACATCTTTGAAATCTAGAATTTTTAATATTTTTCTTTTAGTATCTAGATTTGATTGTAAGAATGATCATGAGAATGATTCATTCATAAGGAAGAAGTTTTCGCACCTCTTCTGTTTGTATTCTTGGAATACTGATTTTAATATATATTTTTCCGTCCTGTAAAGGACAAGTTCACAAGTCTTTACTTGTGAACGTGTTTAATTCTGAGTATTGTTCTTTTGTCTTTATATTTCCGCTGCATGTTTGTTCAAGTGTCATAACACTTAAGACAACACCTCTGTATTAAACGAATTCGGGACCATAAATTATTTCACACCTTTTCCGACGACGAAATTGGAGGGCTTTGTGGATGTGGAGAGCAGCGATTTTATTGAATGTCTTAAATGAAAGAGCCATTGGAGTCTCGCTCATACTTTTCATGGAGAAAAAAGAAGATGGCATCGGAGTTGGGGTCCAGCCACCGGCGGAGTGAAGACGATGATGATGAACTTTTTTTTATTTAATTAAGTTTTAGAAAATTACAATTTAACCTCTTTAAGTTTCTGCAATTTTTCAAAAATTCAATTTGGTTCTTTTACACATATAATCTAATGTAGAGAGACCTATAGCAAATTGCCCCTAGGAAAAAAAATCAACTTCATATATCTTTTTATTCCAAAACCCTTTTCAAATTATTATACGTCCCTTTTTCTCCTTGACAACCTCTTGCCAAGCATGTCCATTTCAAAGCATTTATTCTCATCTATTTACCCATATCACCTTCTCCCATCACAACATTGAAACATTTCTTGGATTCTTCTTTCTAACAACTTTTTTGTTGTTCCCGGTCATAATAACCGGTGGTGATTTTAGCAAATGATCGAGGTAAGAACTTGATTCACTGTCCTCAAGACAATTTTACATCGTAGGTGATCACGGTTTCATAGCAATTGTCTCCACGATACAACGATCTTATTTCGAGATAGTAGCACTACAAACCTTGAAATTATGAACCGTCGAATGTTTTTTGAACTCTGAGTAATAGTACATAAGATAATATTCTCAACAAATATTTCCACGCTAAAGAAAGAAGAAATTCCAAAGAACAATGTTTGGAATGGAGTAATTCAAGTGGTCGACTTGGGATTCCATTTATAGAATCTAAACAGTTGTGGCCAAGGTTCTAAATATTGGTTATCGAGTTCGAGGCGGTTAGGGACCGCCACACGATAAATCGGTGCGGCGATGATTAATCGGAGATATATCGGAAATAAATCGATTTTTAAATTTAGTGTAATATATTTCTAAATACTTAAAACGTATAAAAAAAATTTGAACTTGATTCTCTCCTCATCGTTTATATATTCGAATCACATAACAAAGGTTTAACATTTTGAACTTGATTCTCTCATCATCGTTCTAAATGTTTTTTTAGGCCATGTTCTTCTTACGCGGTCAGTGAATTAGGGTTTGATTGAAAGAGATAATGGGTTGGAATTGAAAAAAAAATAAAATAAAAAATATAAACACCCTATTTTCATTGTAATAAAAAATAAATAAATAAATTAGAAGAAAATATTTTTTTGATATATCGTTCGAAGTTTGACCCCATATATCGGTTTGACCCGCAACAGACCGCATCACCGTCAAAAAACCGATTTTCAAAACTGCCACACATATATCGTAAAGGTTTATGCTCGCCACCGATATGACGGCCGATATATAGGCCGCCACAGCCGATATTTAGAACACTGGTTATGGCAAATAGTCATAACTCATTACAAAAAGCAATGTCTTGAGTGACGACACCTATTTTCACATGATTAGACAAAAAATGTTGTCGCGATGTTTGTCACTAACTCTATATAGTAACAACATAAAAGGATTAAGTGATTAAAAAAGAGATATTAGTGACAATATAAAATATTGTCCTTAATATATGCATTTATAGACAACTTTTGATGTTGTCATAATTGGGATGTCACTACTGTCAATTTTTTTCTTGCAGCGACTCTTAGGAAAATAACTTTGAATCTACTCGAAGGTAGTATTCAACCAATTAACTATCATAAAGAATTGTATGCCATTGTTCGAGCTTTAATTTGAATCATTGGAGTCATTATATTCTACACAATACAAAGGGTTCATTCTTTATTCCAACTATATAGGGTTGAAGTATATCAATTGACATCAAACTTATGAAAATTGGTGGAAAACTTGACAACAAACATTTATGTTTGGAAGCATTTTTATTTCATTTTCATTGTTTCCCCAAAATAAAATCGTGTTTGTTAAACTTTTCAAATAATTTTCTCGATAAGATTTCAAAAGTTTCCCTCTCCTTCAAACATGATGTGACTGCTACAATACAAAATGTATTCACTAAAAAATAAATAAACATCAATTCATCTTTCAAAGTTTTCTTCTAAAATACATTTTTCTAACATTTTTAAACAGAGCTAATAGCACAGACCCCCTGTATTATTTCTAATTGTTGAAAAAATCCTCATGTTTAAAAATTTAACAAAAACCTCCTTATGTTTTATTTTAAAAAACACACAGCTTTAAAAATTAATTGTTGACTTAAGTGCAGTGACTCTAATGTCCTTACTTATTTTTACTAATATTTTAATTTTGATTAAATAAAATAAAAGAAAATATAAATTCATATAAAAAAAATAGGCTCTATCTTCTTTCCGTCACCCCTCATCCCAGCCCACACAACTTTTCATACCACATCCGCCGCCGTACCACCACCGTACCACCATTTGAAACCAGTTGATTTTCTCTTCCGTTTTACTCATATTCTCACAACAAATTTTGCCGAAAAAAGAAATAACACCAGACACACGATATCGAACAAATTCGGCCAAATTCTTCCTTAAAGAAACAACAAACACATTCATATTCTTCATAGCTCACGCCGCTGCCCCAAGGGTCTCCTCTCCATCAACAGTGAGCTTTGGGTTATCGAGAATGGTGAATTCCAAGTTTTGGGTTATCGAGAATGGTGAAGTTGAGGTTAAAATCGAAACTTTTTCTTCCAATCTTTTACATGGAAAAAATGACTAAAAGGCTATGTCTTCTTCCCTTTTTATTTTTCTGGATTTGCAACAAAAATGAGCTTGAGGATATGGGTTTGGTTGATTGATTTTGCTGGGAAAAAAAATCAGAAAAAAGTGGGTCTAGGAAGATGGCCTTTCTAAAAATAGGAAGGACTGAATTGAAAATTTTAAAAAGTTCATTTTGCGATGAATCTATAATTATAAAAACTTCTATTATAAAGGGTATTTAGGTTATTTCAGGTTCGAAAACGCACCCAGACGCACATACGGCGAGTGTAGTGCACGATAACCTGCCAGGGGCCTTTTTGGCTTTGAACAACTTTCATAGGGGGTTCCTTGCTATTTTTTTTAACATAGGGGCGTTTTCAGCAATTAGAGATTTCACAGGGGTCGTTTTCGCATTAAACTCTTTTTAAACATGATTTGACTAATACAGTGTATTTGTCTCCTTTCAAAATATAAACAAACATTATTTTCATTCTCAAATTGTTCACCTAAAACATATTTCCCCAAAATGATATAAAATCAAAATAAATTCCAAAACGTTTCCAAACACTTTAAAAATTGGAAATGAACTTTTACAAGCCTAGAGTTTATTCCAAAACCCTTTTCAAATTAATATATGAAGACCCTTTTTCCTTGACAGCCTCCAAGGCCAAGCCTCTCCATTTCAATGCATTTCTTCTCATCTCTTTACCTCTATCACCTTCTCCCATCACAACATCCAAACATTTCTTGAATTCTTCTCTCTCTATCAAAACTTCTCCATTTGCTCTTGCTCTCACCCCTGTGCCCCACACCTCCTCGACGAGCTTAGCGTTCGTCGGTTGATCGGCAAAATGTGGGCAACAAATAAAAGGAACCCCACAAATCAAGCCCTCCAAAGTCGAATTCCACCCACAATGTGTCACAAAGCAACCTATAGACTTATGACTCAGCACTCCCATTTGTGCACACCATTCGACTATCATCCCATTTTCTCCAATATCACTATTATCAATCATTTTCTTCGTCTCGTTTTCGTCTACACTATCCGATGATGATGATGATGATCTTATAACCCACAAAAAGGGTCTCTTGCTTTCCACTAATCCATGCAAAAACTCGATTTTTTGGTCTTTGTTCATCACCACTAAACTCCCGAACGCAACATATACGACGGAATTCTCCGGCTTCGTATCGAGCCACTTGAAATAGTCTTCTTTCTTGCTGATGAACAAATCGCCACCGAAGGATTTGTCAGTGGAGTCGTTCCCATCGGAGAAAGCCGATGGGATTAACGGGCCTATTGTAATCACGTTAATATTCTTGGTTTTGAGTGATTCGATTGCGTCTTGTTCTAGCTCTTCGAAGGTGTTGAGAAGAACAAGTGGTTTCGGGTCCTTTTCGAGCTCTTGCATGTGTTCAATCATCATAGGTTTCATGAACGAATACATTGGGTTATCGGGCAAGAGAAAAGTCGGCAAATCACTCGAAGAGAAGAGAGGCAAATCTTGTATTATATCCACGGGGTCAACTATTTCATTATGGGGTTTGGAGAATCGATGATAAATGGCGAAAGCGGTGGCGCACTGTATGAAAAGAAAAGCAGACGGGATTTGCATGTCACGCGCAACCGCCGCTGCCCAGGGGAGAAGGAGGCTGTAGACTAGACACGTCACCGGTTCGGGTCCGTCGAGGGACTCTTGGAGGATCCGGATCAGATTTTCCGACCCGGCCCGTTTCATCTCCGCCATGTAGCCGGCGGTGGATTTGGTGGATTTTTCTTGTTCTTCTTCATGATGCTGGCCGTCGGAAAAGGAGGCGTAGGAAAGGCGGTGGAGGGTCGGCAAAGAATCTTGGAGGCGGTGGAGGATGCGGTCGGTGGTGGCGAATGTGACCTTAGCGCCGAGGCGGGCGAGGTTCTTGGCTAGCTGGAGAATGGGGTTGATATGGCCTTGTATTGGGAATGAAATTATCAGAAAGTGGTGGCTCTTCATTTTCGGATAATTCTTGGATCATTAATGTATTTCTATATGTTGTAATTGAGATATATATATAAATATATATATATATATATATATATATATATATATATATATATATATATATATATATATATATATATATATATATATATATATATATATATATATATATATATATATATATATATATATATATATATATATATATATAGATGTCACATACTCTTGTAGGAACAATGTTGTTTTTTTTTTTTTTCCTGTTTTTTCTGTTTTTAGAAACTTGTGGGTGCAATTTATAGTTAAACAATTGTGCTGCCATGTGGATATATAAGTTAGGGAGAATGGACAAAAGAACTTGTACAGCTGTGATCTTATATATATATATAGCTGAAGAACCAATAAACTTTTGTGCATGAGGACAAGTTTTACTGCTAGAATGGAATAAGAGAGAGCATAATGCATAGGGATCATATACTTTATGTTTGGTACGGTTCTTACAGGATTGAGTTTTTTTTTCCTATGTTAGAATTTAGGATTAGTAAAATTGTACTATAATGTGTGGCTGTGTAGGATGAGAATTATATTTGAATTCTCGCACTTTAAACATTTTATATGGGTGGGAGTGAGATTCGAACACATGATTTTTCTTTTTGTCTGACTCTGATATCATGTTGAATGATCATCTCAACCAAAAGTTTAAGTCAAGATTCCTCCACAAACGGTCTCTTAAATACATCCGAAAATATATGGAAAATTATTCTCCGCCATGAATTAAAGAAAGCAAGGAGACAATTTATGAGACGAAACGTGTATTATTTAATATATTTCGTATTGTTTACAGTGAGCCCTAAGTCTCATAATAGTAGAGAAGAGGTGCCACGAGACAACCCTAATCGCAATTCAAGATTTATCGTAATTTACATTCTTTAACATGATGGTAACTGTAATTTAACCTAATTTATATTTCTTAATAAACTGGAAACCCGGATTTACCTCAAATTTCTATATCTTTAATTTAAGAAACCTAAATAATATGGTAATTTTAATGAATAAAAGTCTTAGGCCGGATGTAACCGTCCTGTCAGGTGCAGCTAGGGGTGCAAGTTGGAACGAATTTTTCAATTTCCACCGGTTCCGATCCGAAAAGTTCTGATTTTGGAACAACTTTTTTCATTCCGACTTCCAAAATTCCGATTTCCAAAAGTTTCCAATTTTTTTGGATTGGAATTGGAATTATATAAAATAAATTTGGAATTTCCGATTTCCGATACGATTTAATTCCGAAGAATTCCGATTTTTTTTCCGAAAAATACACCTATAAATAGTATATATTATATAATACTTATTTTCCGACAAATACACCTATAACTTTTGTTTTAGGATTTTGACATAGTGAATTGTTGTTAGAAGTTTTATTGGATATTATGTTGTGTTTATTTTTTTGAACTGAAATTCAGTAGTTATTAGTTTTACTTTTATCGACGTGGATTTTCTTATTTTCGAAAAATTATGAAAATTTTATAAAATTTCGGCTAAGATTTGAAATTTTAAAACTTATGCGATTTCCGATTTTTTTCCGAAATTCCGAAATTTCCAGGCCTTTTGGAATTGGAATGAATTTTAGATTCCCAAAATTTTGGAATTGGAATTGGAATTGATTTTGTACTTCCGAAATTTTTTGGAAATTTTCCGAAAAGGCTAATTCCGATTCGATCCATCCGACTTTCACCCCTAGGTGCAGCCAAGCTCTTTTTCTTGAACCGACCTTCTCTGCTTATACAAAGGCCCAACCCAACTGTGAACGAATTATTTACAATGATCAGCTCAAATTAAGAGAAATAAAATGCCCAATAATCTAATTCGGCCCAGTCGTTCGAATTAACTACCATCAATATTTATATTTTCTTGTCGTCAGAATAGTTATGAAATATTTATGTGATTGTCCAATAAAAGACATCATTCATTTGAAAAGTCTCTATCCTTTTATCATGTCTATTGTGTAATGGATGAATCCATCAATCAATAAAATCAAACAAATCAATCAAATGATTTGTTGGCCGATTCTTAGCTGGCCAAAAAAAAATGTAACAGTTCCCACAACCATGCTATGTAAATCCTAGCCTTAACTCTAGCACTCTTACTTAAAATAGCTTTTATAATCTTGTATATATTTGTATATACTTTTTTGTTTTGATGGAAAAAGAAATATCATTAGGCAAACTCAGCCAAGTTCGAGGGGAGGTGATCGAACACCTTCCATCGGATTATTACAAGCTAAAAAGGAGAAATTCGCTAGCTCATGAGCCAACCTATTGCCCGAGCGTTTTATAAAATTAAAGGAAATCGATTGAAAAAATAAAGTTAACTTTCGACATTCCTCAATGATGCCACCAAAAGTTGTCGATTCACAGTTACCCTCGCGAAGAGCCGTTATGACTTGGAGAGTCCCCTTCCAGCACAATGGCATGCCAGTCCCTTTCCTTAGCAAAAGCAAGTGCTCGAAGCGCCGCCAGCGCCTCCCCTTCAACCGCTAGAAGACCGGCCCTAACACGAGCTACTCTCCAGCCAACACACATCCCCGCATTGTCTCTCGCCACAACTGCAAATGAAACCTCTCTTCCTCCCTTAGGTAGAGCGGCATCGAAGTTAAGTTTGAGGGTCCCATGCGGCGGTAGGGTCCAAACGCTATGGTGACACGGGTTTGGACGTAGACCAGTAAGAGGATGGGATGCTTGGAAGTTTGCTCGATACTCACAACACCAACGCGTCATATCTCTAGCACTCAAGACCGGTTCCCCCTTCACAGCCTGGTTTCGCCTTTCCCATGCTTTCCATGCCATGATTATTGTTGTGAGAAAATTATCTTCACCCATAACCCGATGTAATTCACAAAGCCATCGTCATGGCGACGTCGAATTTGCATGCAATGTTTCGTTAAAAGGAAGAGAGCTCCAGGCCTCCTCCATGCCATGACATCGGAGCAGTACATGCATAATCGTTTCTTCCTCCACATTACAACGTCCGCATAAAGGGGTGCTGCTGATTTTTCGCCGATATAATTCCACATTTGTTGGAAGTATTTCCTTGCACATTCTCCAAAGAAATGAGATGATTTTTGGCGGGGTCCGAAGGTGCCAAATAAGATTCCAGTTTTGACCCCCTTCGTCACTACCAGCGCCCTCCCTGCCATGTCGTCGATTTTCATGCTAAATCCGATGTGCAAGGATCATATGGTAGCAAGACTTCACAGAGAACCGACCATTTTTGGAAAAATGCCAAACCCACCTATCATCCGCAAGGCCATTACCCAAAGGAACAGCCAAGATGCGCTCAATGTCTACCGGCCAGATAAACTCATTTAAAAGATCCATATTCCAAGAATTAGAGCTGTCGTCGATGATATCTGAAACGTGGTCTGAAAAGACTACCCCCATTGGACGTTTGGTGAATAAGCGCAGCGAGCCTCCCTCTTTGAGCCATGGATCGGCCCACAATGATGTATCTCAGCCGTTGCCAATTCGTCGTCGGAGACCCTGCCATATGCTGCCCAAGTCGAGGACGGACGATACCCAAGCGTTGCATTAAATAAGCTCCCTTGAGGGTAATATTTGGCAGAGATAACCCGAGACAGTAGCATGTTTGGATTAGTAAAGATCCGCCAGGCCTGCTTAGTAATCATAGCCAAATTAAAGGATTTGAGATCCCGAAAGCCCATTCCCCATTTACCCTTCGATTTCCACATATCGTTCCATGCTACCCACGCTAGACCTCTATTTCCCCATGACCCCACCAATACAGTTTGATTGCAGCCTCCACGTCGTTTATAATGCCTACTGGAAGTAGAAAACATCCCATCACATACGATGGGATAGCTTGGAGAACCACTTTGATTATGACTTCTTTTCCCGCTCGCGATAATTGTTTTTCGCCCCACCCTTTAATCTTGGACCACAACCTATCTAGGAGATATGAAAAAATTTCCTTCTTCGTCCTTCCAATAGCCGCCGGCAATCCTAAATATTTTTCCTGGTTCTCCACCACTCGAAATTCCAAGATTTGATGGATTGCAACTCTTCGCTCCTGGGTAGTATTTGGGCTAAAAAACACCGTCGATTTTTCTTGGTTGATATCCTGTCCAGATGCACGGGCATATTTCCCCAAGATATTCTTTAGCACCCGTGCGTACTCCTCTGTAGCTCTCCCAAACACCAACGTGTCATCTGCAAAACATAGGCACGAAACCACCGGAGCTGTTGGGGCCACCCGAACTCCAAGAAACTCACCACTATTAGATGCTCTAGCGACCATGGCTATGAGGGCCTCCGCACAACATATGAACAGATATGGAGATAGCGGATCCCCTTGCCGCAGCCCCCGTGAAGGTGAAACCTGGCCAAACTGCATATCGTTGAATAAAAAGGAGAAAAAGACAGTGGAAACACACAACATTATAAGATCAATAAAATCAGGGGGAAAACCAAAACGACAAAGAATCTTTCTCAAAAATAGCCATCAATCCGATCGTATGCCTTGCTAATATCTAGTTTAATAGCCATGTAATTAGTTTTGGTTCTAGTGTTCGTTTTGATGAAATGGTTAATCTCAAAAGCTACAGAACATTATCGGAGATAAGACATTTAGGAACAAATGCAGACTGAGTAGGGGAAATCAGGTCATTAAGCACCAATTTGATCCGATTGGCTAGGACTTCAGACCCAAATTTATAAATGACATTACAAAGGCTGATCGGTCTATAGTCGGAAATTTTTTCGGGTTTTTTTAATTTTGGGGATTAAAACTATATAGGTGGAATTAAGGTCCGGCTGAAGAATTTTATGGTTGAGAAATTTAAGCACACAAGAAAGAACATCGGTCCCTAACACATGCCAAAATTTTGTAAAGAAGACGAGTGGTAACCCATCCGGGCCCAGAGATTTGAGAGGAGCCATTTGAGAGATAGCTCTCGTTACCTCGTCGGAAGTGTAAGGTTGGGACAGAAGTTGACTAGCTCC